ATCCTTATCATTGATTCCATGTCTTACTAAGGGACTTCTTATTTCTCTTCTATTGTTTACACTATCTCTTCCTTGAAACAACAACAAGGCACGTGTATATGCTTATGTGTGTACACACACACATGCGCGTGCTAATAACATTCTTCTCATAGACTTCCTAAGGCCAGTTCTTATTCAAGCTTCAGGGCTTGTCACCTCCTCAAAGAGACTTTGCATACACAGCCTACCTAGGGAGCTTCATGACTGGATAGATATTGGTTCACTTTTATTGTTTCTCTTCAGATCATCTGGTTCGTGCCGTAATGAGACTCTCACTCTTCTTGGTCCTTGCCCATTTTCTGTTGTTTTCTCTCGTCTGAACCTAATGAACCCTGAAACTCTCATCCTAGTCAGTACTGTACCATATCTTAACTTCCCAGGATTTTCCTGGTAGGCTTTTTGAAGTCAAGGTCACATGTAAGCCAGGCTGACCTCAAACATAGTCTGTTGTCAAGGATGTTTTTGAACTTCTAGTTCTTCTAACCTCCACCTCGTGGCTGCTGGGATCACAGGAGTGCAACGCCATGCTAGTCTGGAAAGCATTGTTGACCATATACCCTGAGAGGCTAGAACCATCTTTATTTATCCTTTCATATCTGTTTCTGAGTGGAAAATGAAAGTCTTTGTTTTTTCCTAAGAGGAAACCTCAGCAATAAACCTGACTGTCCTCTACAGGCACACACACACAAAAGGACAGGGAAGAAATCTGAAAGAAAGGCAGTCAAATTCCAGTGGGTCATTACTGGACATCTCTTGCGGAGAGAACAGTCAAGAGGAATCAGAAGCTGTAACTTAGTGTAGCACAGTGAGCGCAGTGAGACCAAGCTGCCAGTAAAGGAAACGAAGCTAAGCAGGACAGAAATGGCTGCTGAAGCCCCCACCAAGGCAGCATTTAAGCAAGACCTTGTGAAGATCTCTGCTCCCTGAACCGGGGGAAACACTAACCTGGCAGGTCAGATTTGAAAACAACCATCTGTAACTCTAAAAAGGGAAAAGAAAAATAAGTCCTGATGCCAAAAGCACTGGGTACAGTTTTCTCTGGGGTAAGCCCAGGTGCTTCTAGAAGCCGTGGTTGAGAGCTACTCACCTCGCCTCTTCATGGCACAGAAGTGAGGCCCAGAGAGGAGTGAAAGGAGTCATTAACCTCTGCTTGGCTTTCCATCATTTTCTTCTTGCCTCTTCCACACATGATGGACCATCCCAGCTTGCGCACAGAGACCTGCTTTCTCGTTCTTCCAGGCTTTCATCCGCTGTCGCCACCAGTGGTTCTCAAACTTCCCAACTCTGCAACCCTCTAATACAGTTCCTCCTGTTGTGGTGACTCCCAACAATAAAGTTATTTTTTTCTACTTTATAACTGTAATTCTGCTACTGTTAGAAATTGTATTGTAAATATCTGTGTTTTTCGCTATTCGGGGTTGTGATCCACAGGTTGAGAACCACACTGGTCTAGGGCCTTTCCCCACGCAACTCCCTTATGAGTTTGGGCTCCAAACAGCCTCCTCTTCTCAGCTGGGGCCCCTTCTCTCCTTGCACGCTTCTTTTCCCTGCTAGGTCGTGATGGTTCCTGGATCAGCTTTCTCCCCCTTGTATATCTCATGGCTAGCAGACCACCTAGCCAAAAATGGAATTCATAAATTAATAAAGCAAAATGCTACATGAATTCTCAGAGGGATGATGTGCTTTATTTTGGGAGTTTTTATTTGCTTGTTTTAACAACTGTACTGAGGTGTACCCATGATGTGTAAGTCACTGATTTAAATTGTGCAACCCAGTGACTTGGGAATGTTCAAAGAGGTGTACCACCAACACCATGATCGATTATGGAACCATTTCACCACACCAAAAAGGAACCTCACACTCCTTAGCTGTCATTCCTCATCTCTATCTCTGTGAATTTACCTACTTCACCATTTCCTATAAATGCAATCATCCAATAGCTCATCTTCTGGGATAGATGCGTTTGATCATAGGCTTCCATTTTATATGGGATGTGTGTGACCAAGTATGGACCCCAGTAGAGATACTGGAAGGCAAATGCAGGCAGTATCCCTTAGACATAATGTACTGCAGCCAGGTAAATTGTCCAAATTCCCAAGCCCCAGGAAGACAGAGAGAATGGGGCAGGAGAGCAGGAGAGGAGGGTAGCTGAACCTGGGCAGTCGCTTGCCATGTATTGAAAAGACGATCCAGCAGAAGCAAGGTGAAGGCCCACTAACTTAAATTACCTTCTGTAACTTGAAACAGCCACCTGAGGCTTACATGCAACAGTAGACACCAGCTGCCCCCGCCCCAGATTTCTGGGTAATTGACTGATTCACTGGTGATAAAATCCATACGTCTTTGGCCTCTTGCCATTGTGCTTGATGCGGAGCGATGGTTTTATTCTAACTTTGGGTTGCCTGGAGAGGCTTAGCCATACAAACATTGCTTTCTGACATATTTAGCAGATGTTCCAGGAAAGCTAAGCGGGGGATGCCATATTCGGGTCTGCTGCCTAGGAAGTGTAGCAGGAAAAGAAAGAACTTGTGGGAGAGGGATGTGGGTGAACAGGTAAAAGTCCAGGAAGCCCGCGTACTCTTTCTGCTCGTGGGATGGAGAAACACGCGGAGACTCAGCTCCTTCCATCACATTCAATGTTGGACACATCCTGACTCTCACTTTCCATTAAGTTTGCTTGTTTAGTTTGCTTTGGTTTGGTGTTGAGACAAGGTCTCACTGTGTAGCCCTGCCTGGCCTGGATCTGGTCTCAAATGGCTCTTTCTCCTGAGGGCTAGAATTAAAGGTATGCATCACCTCACCCAGCTAGTCAGTCAATTTTAGTCTTTAGATAAATCAACTCAAGATTTAGAGCATCTATTAAAACGTAGTGAAGTCTTCTCAATAATAATAGTTGGTAATACTGTTTCTAAAATGCATCACTATCCCCTTTTCATATTGGATTATACATAGGACAATATGTAAAGAGCTGTGACCAATCAACAAGAAACACAAGTCCATACCAAGTGTTTGCAATGTTCCAGGTCTGAACTATGAATTTCTCTGTGCAGCCTCCCATTTCGCTGCAATGACTGTTCTCTGGTGGGGCACCTAGAACGTAGGAATTCTCTTCATCCTCTTTGTAGAGATGGAGAGGTGACACAGGATGAGCATCAGCTACCACCTGGCGAAGTTTGAGTTTGACTCAGAAAGTTTGTTTTCAGAGTGTGTCCTGGTGACCTAAGAGATCCTGTTCAATAGCCCACCTACCACAGAGTGAGGTAGTGTACCTGAATTGGGTTCCTCACCCTTCCTCCTCTTCTTCTGGGGTGACAGATATGGCTAACCCTCTCTCCTGCAGTCCCCAGAGAGGAACACTAAGCCTGGGTTCTGGTTAGCAGCCCCACGCACGGCCATCTCTGATCCCGCATCACAAACAACTACAGAAAATGAACCTATTTCATTTCTCTTCTTGCCCTGCATTCAGGCTTGAACTGCCCATTAGTCTGTGTGACAGGTATTTATCGAGACGCTAGTGTACGCCAACACTTGAAAATTCCAACATTTCACCGAGACTTAGGATTTGAACTCTGAAAGGAATTTTTGAGAGGATAAAATGGGACTCAGAGAAGGAAAAGCTGTACCGAGAGTCCCAGCGCCGGGCTAAGGAACACTCTAGTAATTGATCTTGTTTTACTATGACAAGGATAGTTCTTCCAGTTAGAAATAACATGGATTTAGCTGGGTATGATGTCACACACCTTTCAGCCCAGCAGTAGGGGAGGCAGACTGGTAGGCAGAGCTCTGTGGATTCAAGGAAAACCTGGTCTTCATGAGATCCTCTTTCAAAAGCAAACAAAAAATACCAAATAAAAGTCAACCACAGTAATTTCATAGCCAAGGCTATGAAATCAGAGAAAATCTAAATGATTGTTTTTGTTCATTATGGGTTTTGTCACCTAAAGACGAACCACGAAGCGCCTACCAGTTAGTGGTTGAAGACGCTCACACCATCCACATTTGCAAAGTGACTAATGCCACGTGTCTCCCTCCCTACACCGCTCCCCTCACCCGACCTGCTCATGTCTCACCCACGCCAGGCTGACCAACGGCTTGTAAAAAATTAACTCAATAGGATTGCACAACTTCGAAAGCTTGAATCGCTCTGTGGTGTCGTGAATGAGAGCCTTCAGTCCCCTCATGAAGATGTTCCCAGTGGGAGGGAGGGGGGACAAGCCGTCACAAACAGGAATGTCCTCATTAGATTCAGGTGAGGTTTGCACAAGTCAAAGAAGTCGGAGACGCTCACCCCTGCCAGCTTCAGGACAGACATCTCCTTCTGCGTCTGGTGTCCTTTGTGAAATTTATGTTCTTCAAAACCTTGCTTCCCGATCCAGAGGGCCTTCAGAGTGATCCTTCATCTGGCGAAGGACGGCGATACAGTCGGAGACCCACATTGGAGCACCGGACTGAGCCCCCCGAGGTCCAAATGAGGAGCAGAAGGAGGAAGAACATGAAAAACGAAATCAGTACTGCGAGGGATGCTATCACCCACTGATACAAGGGAACGGATCTGATGAGAGTTTACCAGGGCCAGTCGGACTGGGACTGAACGAGGACGCGATCCAACCAGATTCTCGGAATTTGGCCGGATTCTCTGACTGTGGCTGGCCCGAAGTCTTTCTGAAAAGCCATTGACTATGACACTGGGACCTGTTTCCTCTACATATACTGGATTTTGGGGATCCGGTCTGTTTGGACACTCACCTTCCTGGACCTGGAGGGAGGGGGAAGGAACTGGAACTTCCCACAGGGCAGGAAACCCTGACTGCCCTGGGGGACGAAGAGGGAGGAGGAGGGGGAGTGGGGGGGAGTGGGAGGGTGTTGGGAGGGGGGGCGGAAATGGAAACTTTTATAATTTAATAAAATTTACTTAAAAAAAATAATAAAATGTACTAAATTAAAGCTAAAAAAAAAACAAAAAACCTTGCTTCCCTTTTGGAGGTGATGGGACATTTGACTTCTTGACCGGCTTCACAGGTGGTTGCGTCTCTCCAGAGACATCAAACTGTACGTGAAATATGTGGGATTCTGTCTGATGGTTTTTACCTCAGGGAAACGAGCAGAATAAGAAAGCCAGTATTTCCTCACTGAGTCAACCACAACCGGCTAAACGCTCTGCTGTGCGCCTCTCAGGACGCAGGCTTTCAGCTAGACTGGAACTCTTCCTTTGCAATTTAATGGTTGTCGGTGCGTTTCCCTCAATTATCCATCAGGGCTCTCCACGAACTCCTCTTCTCGGGCCACCACGCTCTCTCATCTGAACCACTGAGTAGGTCTCCTAATCACCCTCCTCTGAGCATTGGACAAGTTTTCCTGGCTGTAGTCAGAGAGACCTTCCCAAAATCCTAACCCATCACCCAGTTTACTGCTTCCTGTCCTGCAGGGTGTCTCATTGTCCTGAAGATAAGGCCTCAGTTTCTCGGAAGAGATTAGCTGTAACCAGCTCAAGGTGACTGCACAGACAAGGGCCTGTAGCTGAAGGGCCTAACCAGAAGCTCAGGGCTTCACTCACTTTTGTCTAAGACCCTGCAAGAGCTAGAGTCACCCAACACAAGCGTCTATATCTCCTGCTGAATTTCCTATCTAGTGACCCTATCCACGGCTTGTATTAAAGTCAGCATCAGCATCCCCCATGTTAGCCTCACGGGACTCCTTTCTCCATTCTGATACGCTGCCCACTCTCCCTCTGCTTTCCTTTCGCCAAAGTAAGTTAGATGTTCAGGTCTGTACTCTTCTCAATCTGGGCCTTCCTTACCTTCTTCCATTGTCTCAGGCCCTCCCAGTACTTATTCAAAAGCCAAGGTGTGCTGTTCAGAGCAGAACTCCTCTTCTGGAGTCGCATTGTAGCCTCTTATCTGTCTGCTCTTTGAGAGCAGGGCTTGTACTGAGTTACTCTGTAAACTTTTTGTTGAGATATTTAATAGATAACCCGGTGATCAAAGAACGAGAGGAATAAATGGAGAAACAAATAAATTTTTTTTTTAAAAAAAAGTAAAACCCATGTTTCTGATGGCCTACGTCTGTGTGCTTCTCTTAGGTGGAGCTTATCGGCCATTCTGGGATATACTGAAAGACAGATTTCGGCAGTAAGACCAGCATCTATCCCTGGTGCATGAGCTAGCTTGGTGGAGCCCATCCCCTATGGTGGGACACCATGCGCTGCCTCAATGCAGTATGGAGGGGCATGGTTCTGCCCCAACTTACTGGGCCAGACTTTGTTGACTTCTTGTGGGAGCCCTTACCAACTGAGAGGAATGGATAATGGATAGGGAGTGGGCTGGGAGAGGGGGGAGGCGAGGTGGAGTGGGAGGAGTGGGTGGGAGGGAGAACTGTGGTTGGGATGTAAAATGATAGTTAAAAGAGGTTTTAAAAAGGGGGAAGTCAGGTGGTGGTGGCACACACCTTTAATCCCAGCACTCAGGAGGCAGAGGCAGGCGGATCTCTGTGAGTTCGACGCCAGCCTGGTCTACAAGAGCTAGTTCCAGGACAGCTAGGACTGTAACACAGAGAAATCCTGTCTCAAAAAACAAAAGGGGTGGGGGGAGAAAGATTTCTAGGAACCATTTGTCATGACAGAAAGAATGAAAGAAACTACAACAACAACAAAAACAGAAACACCCAAAACTTTCTGGATTATATAGACTAAACATGCCAGGCTTCTTTCCTTTGCTCTGTCTATAAACAAAAACACTGGACTTTCTACAGTGTTTTCAGGTATGGGTTTGCCCACCTTCTTCCAACATGCCACCCAAGACTACACAGTAGACAACGCTCATTGTCTTACTGAGTTTAATAATCCTCTTGGGTGTGATTTTCAATCTCTGTGATAGGGTAAAGGAAATGAGTGCTGGAACTCATAGAGCCCAGGGAACTAGGGACAAAGCTTCTGGAAAGGCCCAAGCAAGAACTAATAAAGGCTGTCACACAGAAGGACCGCATTGATCATGAATATGTAAAATCAAGAAACATCTGGGCCGGACAACAACTGTAATCCCAGCATTTGGGAGGCAGAGGCAACCAGATCTCTGAGTTTGAGACCAGCCTGCTCTACAGAGTGAGTTCCAGGACAGCCAGAGCTGTCACACAGAGAAACCCTGTCTCAAAACAAACAAAACAGAAGGATACTATAACAGATGGAAGCAGGGGAGGTAATTGTAGCGATTCCGCAATATCTGCTGAGCTCAGCACTGAGAGAAGACACTGGTTTGCTTTGAGGTTTGTTCAGTTTAAGTTACGGACTTCTGCAAGAAAGAAATGCAATAACCACACCTTAACATCCATTGTCAGCATGCCTTGTGTATGGTAGGGGGTTCAGACTTCTCTGGAATTGAGTTGAGATGCAGTATAAACATTTGTATTTTTAATTATGTGCATCTACGTGGGGGGGGGGGGTAGGTTACGCGAGTGTACGTGCAGGAGAAGGCCAGAAGAGGGCACTGGATCCCGTGGCACGGGAGTTCCGGAGCAGAACCATCCAACATGGGTGCCGGGAAACAAACTGTGTCTTCGGCAAAAGTCGTACATGTTGCTAACCACCAAGCCATCCCTTTGATCCCTTCAGTGTTGGGGGATGCAGACCACCAGACCCTGAATTTCTTGTAAACAACTTGTTTTTCTCTGCTCTGAGCTGCCTGCAGCAGCTCTGAGCACGAGACCCTGATGGCAGGCTGGTGGGTCGGCAGCTGAAACATCCCGAGAGCTGGGGCATGGCCAGAGCCCTATATGAACTGCCTTTGAGCACAATAAAGTGGGCATTCTTGGCACTCTTGTCTCAACGATGTACCCGTACCTACTGAGCAAGTCCCAGGACAGCCAGAGCAACACAGGGAAACCCTGTCTCAAATCAATCAATCAATCAATGGAAATAGCCTAAAGAATTTTATTTACTATCATTTGTGTACACGTGATGTACACATGTAGGTACACAAGCCATAGCATGTATGCACAGGTCAAAAGACAACATTCTCTTCTTCCACGTCTACACGGATTCTGGGGATTGAACTCAAGCTGCTAGGGTTACTCGGCAAGCCGCTACACCCACTGAGCCTTCTTCCTGGCCCTTCCCCTTAGCGTTGAGATAAGGTCTTTCACTGAAGCTGGAGCCTATGAACTCAATTAGTCTGTTCCTCTGATGAGTTCCAGGATCTGCCTATCTTGCCACTACACCCCTCCCCCAAGCCCATAACTAGGTAAGAGAGGTGCACTCCTGCACCTGGCTTTCTACCTGGGTGCTGGGAGCCCAAACTCAGGTCCTCATGTTTATGCGCCAGGGAGAGTAAGGAATTCTCTCCCTGTTGGCCCTCGATGCATGCATATGGCAGGTATGTTACTGGCTGAGCCATAACCCCAGATCCCCTTTCTCTCTTCTAATACATTGTCATTGTGTCTATCACTCCCAGCGTGTACCTGGGCTAGTTCTTTCGTTAAAAATGCGAGAACCCGGAAATTCCCATAGGTACCTCCGGACCCTCCCCGGGCCTATAAAGTGAGTAATTTCTCATTTATACAGCCCAAGGCACAGCCACACCCAAATATACGACTCTAACATAGCATTTATCCATGTGACAAACTAAGAAATCCAACCCCCTGGAAAGTATGACTAAGAGGTTTTACTACAATAATAATTTTCACCGAGCAGATGAAGGGACTTAGGGAAAGGGATGGCTACTATAGCAACCGCAGAGTGGTCCAAAGCTACATTTGGCTTTCGATTTCACTAATAATTCAGAGAAACCATAAAAGATTCAAGTGAAATCTGGTTGGTTGATTAGAAACATGTGAGGAGCGGCTCTCAAGCACGTGTTTCACATTTGACTTCCATGTGTGCCAAAAACTAATCATCATCTGCCCTGTGATATTCCAGAAGACAGAGTCACCCCAGCTGGCCCTTGGAGGGACAGAGATAGGCTCAGGAAATCACTGCATCAGTCCAGGACTTCTGGAGAGAGAGAGAGTGAACGTGTGAATTCCGTGAAGAATGGGGATGGCCCCCTCATGGCTGTCCTTGGCTTCTTTCCCTGCTTTCAGGGTAGCCCTTCCTGTCCCCACCTGCAGACCGGTACCCACCAGCTCTGTTATTAGAAGGAAAGAGAACGCTTCATCTGTTGCTTCATCGTGAACCTCCTTCCTTTGCAGAGCACAAATTCCAAAATGAAGCAGACACAGGCTTTGGAGCCACGAAGCCACAAAGTGGAGACCAAACCACCTTTTATTATGAGGAATTCACATAGTGTCGCTGGCTTTCAGTTTTCTTCATTAACACAATGAGGTTTCAAGGCTTCCTTTGAAGAGCGGTTGCTGACTAAGCGGATCAGTTATGTGAACCGTGGACAAGTCAAGGATGGTAACAAGTGTTTGCTGCTTTGCTGTCGTCCTTGTGAATGGGGATATTCTCACTCTCAGTGTATTGGAGGCCAAACTGTCCCTGAACACAGGACTCCATGCCAGAAGTGCCCAAATGGTAGCATTGTACAATGGACCAGGGACCTGAGATTAAGTTGGGATGCAGTGTGGAGATCTTAGTTCCATACAGTCCCTCTTAGACCAAGAGTGAGTTAGATGACAATCAATCCTCCTCTTAGTGTGTCATCACAAGAGGGGGATTGGAATAGTCAGCTCAAACCTCATAGCTGAAAAGCATTTTTTTATGGGAAGCTGGTAGTGGATGAGACATTTCATACATAAGTAGATGGGGGGACCGGAGATACAGCTTAGTAGTTAAGAGTACCTGTTAATCTTCCACAAGACCTGGGTTTGATTCCCAGCACCTACGTGGCAGCTCACAACCATCTGTACCTTCAGTCCCAGGGCATCTGGCAACTTCTTTTTCTGGCCTCTGTGGGCACTAGGGGTGTGTGTGTGTGTGTGTGTGTGTGTGTGTGGTGCAGAGACATACAAGCAGGTAAAACATCTGTGTGCATATTTTTAAAAATAAGATGAATAAATATTCTGAGGCCAGGATATGCTTGCCTGTAATAAGGAGGGCTGTTTGTTCTTCCCAGCTGCCTGGCTAGCTTGAACCTGAAATAATCACACAGAAACTATATTATTTAAAACACTGCTTGGCCCATTAGCTCTAGCTTCATATTGGCTAACTCTTACATCTTAATTTAAACCATCTCCATTAATCTGTGTATTGTCACGTGGCTGTGGCTTACCAGCTAAAGTTCCAGTGGCTATCTCCGGCGGCTCCACGGCTTCTCTCTGACTCTGTCCTTCCTTCTCTCAGCATTCAGCCTAGCTTTCCCTGCCTACCTAAGTTCTGCCTTGCTATAGGCCCAAAGCAGTTTCTTTACTCATTAATGGAAATCACAGCACACAGATGGAACTCCCACAACACTTGCAAAACTGGTTAAGCATGGCTACAGAACAGACAACTGAGAGACATATTGGGAAATGGAATTGACGTGTACCTGGGCTGGTTTATCAAGGTCTCACCAGGTTATGGCAAAAATTTTAGACGTAATAAAACAAATAATGAAGCTTCACTAAAAAGACTTGAAAAATCTCACCCTACTGCATTTGCTTGCTGTATTTCCTACCTGTATTATGAAAAGCAGACACATAATAGAAAAAAAACACTCAGACATCAAAAGAGGGTGTAATAAAATTAAAATCCCCCCCTTTTTTTCTGTGTTTTGAAGGCAGCATTTCTCTGTTTAGTCCTGGCTGTCTTGGAACTCACTCTGTAGATGAGACTATCCTCAAACTAAGAGATCTGCCTGCCTTTGTCTCCCAAGTGCTGGGGTGAAAGGTGTGTGCCACTACAGCCCAGCAAAATCCCCCTCTTTATCCCCAGACTGTGGTTCTCCTATAAAGGTAATGAGTATAGATTCTTTCCTCTGCCACAGATTTCTCAAGTATAAATCTTAAATCTTTCTATGATGGGAAATATTTATACCCTTTGCTGTACATCTTTCTCACATTAGAATGCTTAATTAAATATTCCCATCTCTCTCTATATATTTCCACCCCATTGTTTTAAATAGTTTGAAGGTCTCTCATAGATTAGACTGTTCATCTTCTGCTTTGCTAGTCCCCGACTGGTAGATTTTTTTGGGTTGTTCTCTTTTGTTTATTATTTTGACTTTGAAGTGTCCCTGGAGGAGAAACTACTAAACTCAGACTTGCTGGATCAAAGACTATGTGCTTTTAAAACCCGAGTGCTATTTTCAGTTTTCCCATTAAAAAGGTATCTATTTGATTCCAAGTCCAGCATGACTCCATGCATTTCCACAGACCCTTCACGTCATTTTGTGATCGTGCTTTTAAGAGCTGGCTGATCTGACGAGTAAACACTGTTCATCTCCTTGCTCTGCCTTGCGTTTCTTTAACTCTGTGAAGAAGGGGCGCTCACATGTTGATCAACCGTGTGCCCTTTTCCCCAATTTTACTTGCCAATTTTTCTATCCCTTTGGATCCTTTCTTTAGTATGTTAAGGAAATGAATGTATCGATGACTATTTAGTTTAGGGTCTATGGGTTTGAGGTCATAAAAGTCTCTTCCACACCAACATTTTTATTGTGTTTGTCTATGTATGTATGTGGGTGGAGGCATTCATTCACTATATACATATGGAAGTCAGAGAACACTTTGAGAAGTTGGTTCTCTTGTACCACATGAGTCCTAGGGACTGAACATCATGCTTGGCAGCAAGTGCCTTACCCACAAACCATCTCACTAGTCCCCACTCCAATATTTTTTTAAACTCCACTCACATTGCCTTTTACCCTTTTACAAATTGAGCTATTTAATGTCTATAAGTTCAACATATCAAAAATTTCCTTTTCTGTATTGTATGCAATATAGATTTTAATTTATGATTACTTTTTTCTTTTGAAATATTATTTTATTCCCATTTAAATTTGCTAACATGATATAAAAATGTTTGCTTCAATTCTCTTCTACTTTTATTTTCCTTTAAACTTCCTTTATTTTCTAATTTTCGGCTTATCTGGTGTTTTGGTTTTTATTTTTTTATCTTTTATGGTTTACTTAACTTTATTTTATGTGCATTGGTGTGAAGGTGTCAATCCCTTTCAGACAGTTGTTAGCTTCCATGTGGGTGCTGGGAATTGAACCCAGATCCTCTGGAAGAGCAGTCAATGCTCTTAACCGCTGAGCCATCTCTCCAGCCCTGGTGTTTGGTTTTTATTTGTTTGTTTATTTTTGAGCCCTGGCAGTCCTGGACCTCACTCTACAAACCAGGCTGACCTCGAACTCAGAGATCCACCTTTCTCTGCCTCCTGAGTACTGGAATTAAAGACATGCACCACACTGTCTGGTTTATAATCAGTTTTTATCTCCTAGAGACCTACCCGAGGCACAGGAGGTTCATGGCTGATGGGCTCCGCTCACCCTGGTGGACAATGACAGCTCCTAGACAGAGCAGACGTGTGGACAAGGAGCATGGATGATCGATCACCTAGCCCATTGCTGGCTGGCATGAGCACCATTTTCTCTGATGCTTTCCCTCCTACTGGAGACTTCTAGGAATATATAGATTCGCTCTCAGCATTTTCCTCGAATTAGATCCACATATTACCACGCTAGCAAATATTCCTTCAGTGATTGGGGACCCTATGAGTTCTAAACTTCTTAAAGATATATTTTCTTCTTCTTTTTTTGTAGGTTTTGGGAAATAAAGTTGAAGTAGAAATGAAGGAAAATGTTATTTTTCGGATGCTTTTTTTATTAGTACACAGTCATTACGCATAACAATGGGCTCCATTATGACCCATAATATTATGCTTAGTAGAAAATTCCCGCACTGAGTTACCTATTCGTCTGCGACTACGCTGGCGAGAGATAAATATATACGCTTCTTGGGCTGGCCTGGGCTTATGCACCTCCTGCCTCTGGAATGCCGGGATGATACGCACCAACATACTAGCCTCAGATTAATCTTCTGTCTGTGTTTCCCTCTCCCATAAGCTATCAGTGCGCCCCTGTGCTCGGTGCTTGTCCACCACAGACGTGCAGCAGGTATTTGTTTATTCCAGACTGAAGTTGCTACAGGCGGCACCTACGTAATTTGCTTATCTAGTAAATACACTAAAACCACACCAAGACCAGGGCAACTGATTGCAACTCGGTGATGTCGGTTGAAAGGAATATCAGGGATCCCAGCTTGACCCGAAGCAGGGCTCCATAGTGACTGCAGCCTGTGAGCGTGTGTCCTGCAGCACAACTCATCTTTCAGCAGGTATGATTTTGTGGGCAGAAAACCTTGCCACAGGGGGCTGGAGAGATGGCTCAACAGTCGAGAGCACCGGTTGCTCTCCCAGAGTACCCGGGGTTCAATTCCCAGCACCCACATGGCAGTTCATAGTTGTCTGTAACTCCAGTCTGGGGGATCTGAAACCCTCACATCAATGTACAAGAAAGAAAGAAAAAAGAAGGGAGGGAAGGAGAGAGAGAAAGAAAGGGAGAAGAGAAGAGGAAAGAAAAGAAAAAAGAAAAGAAAAAAAAAACTTTCCAACCAGGAAGTTAAGAATGAGAAAAGGAGCCAGGCAGTGGTGGTGCATGCCTTATTCCCAGCACTCAGGAAGCAGAGGCAGGTGGATCTCTGTGAGTTCAAGGCCAGCCTGCTCTACGAGTGAGTGCCAGGACAGGCTCCCAAGCTACACAGAGAAATTCTGTCTTTAAAAAAAACAGCATGAGAAAGGAAATAATAAATATTATCATCTATTGCATACTGCACATGTGCCAAGGACATGGGTTAGGTCTCCCAACAATTTTTTTAAATATATTTTATGTGTGAGTGCTCTGCATGTATCCTGCTGGCCAGAAGAGGGCGTCAGATCCTGTTGTAGGTGGTTGTGAGCCACCATGTGGGTGCTGGGAATTGAACCCAGCAGCTCTGGAAGAGCAGTCAGGGCTCTTAACCCTTGAGCCATCTCTCCAGCCCCAATTTTATGTGCCAAGGAAATTAACCAAAGTCACATACAGGGAATTATCAGGAGAAGCAGGGGCCAGTCAGGTTGGTTTGTCACTCAAGCTATGATCAGAATCATAACACTAGAGGCTCAAGTATTTCCCTCGAATTCCAAAGAAAAGCTGAAATTCCAACAGTGAAAAAGTGAGACGCTTCCTCTAGAAACTCAGAATGGTGTCAGACCCTGACAGTTTGGTCTCTGACCTTTCCTCTCTATTAGTAATCAAAAAGAATGTAGGGCGATGGTGGCACAAGCCTTTAATCCCAGCACTGGGGAGGCAGAGGCAGCGGGGGCGGGGGGGGGGAACAGACCTCTGTGAGTTCAAGGCCAGCCTGGTCTACAGAGAGAGTTGTAGGACAGCCAGAGCTACACAGAAAACCCTGTCTCAAAAAAGCAAAACAATAATTAGACTGGTATTTGGCCCCTCATGAAAGAAAATACTTCCCAGCTTCTTTGGCAGCTAGCTATAAGCATGACTAACTTTTAACAAACAGGATACAGTGTAAGTGGGATATGTAATTTCTGAGATTTATTATCCTTTTATTGTTAGATTTTTAAGGTACAGTCTCCCATAGGCCAGGCTAGCCACAAACTCACAACGTAGTTGAGTCTGGCCTTGACCTTTGGGATACTATGGCTCCAAATGTGCCTTCCTTCCCCAAGTTAACTTACTGGAAACCTAACTTGGTATTTGGAGATGAGATCTAATTCAATTTGGGGGTCTAATTAAAGTTAAATAAGGCTATGAGGATGGTGCCCTATGATCAGATTAGTAACTTTATATAAAAAAGAAACCCTTGAAATTATAAATTCTAGCAGTCTCATTGTACAGTCCCTGTGGCATGTTGTGATACAGTGAGAAAGCCCTCACCAGCTATCAGCATCTCTAAGGTAGGCTCCCCAGCCTCCAGAACATTGAAAAGTGACGTTCTTTTCCTGTATGTATGTATGTACATACATATGCATTTTCAGACAGATTCTCATGGATGCTCGCCTGGACTTAAACTTACCGGGTAGCCAAGGATGACCTCAAATTTCTACCCCTCCTGCCACTACTGCCGTGGTGTAGGGATTACAGGTATGTACCACCATGCCTGGTTTACATGGAGCTGCAGAGTGAACCTAGAGCTTCCTGCGTGTTGAGCAAGCACTTTGCCAACTGGGCTGTATCCTTAAGTCCAATTCCATTTGTTTGTAGCAAAATTGGCCTTTAGGGGTATGCTGCTCCAGCAACACTAAGGAAACTAAGACCATTATTATGGCAAAATGTGTGTTTAAAAGAGCAGTCATGTGAAGGCTGGAAAATATAAGATCCCTACCTCAAGTAAAAGAAAATCAATTTTAGAAAGGCAAACTAGAGCTGATGTCATGTCTCACACCTGCAATCTCAGCCTTTCTAAGGAGGAAGCTGGAAGGCAGCTATACTACACTGTGAGGCTCTATTAAAAAAAAAACAGGATAAAATACACTCTGTCATTTTTAAAAGTATGGTCTCATAGTTATTTGGGTTTTTATCACATTGTTTTACTTTACACTCATTTGATAACACTTAATTTTCCTCTATTGCCTTCAAGTTCCTTTGTCTTCCTAACTGGATCTTATTCATGTATTGAATTTTTTTTCAGTTTTTCTTTCTTTTTTTTCCAACAAAATATTTTTATTAACTGTTTGGGAACTTCACATAATCACGTTCACGTCCCAGTCCTCCCAGGTCCACTCCCCAACTTTTGAGATTTCCCCCAAAACGACAAGTTAAATCTGTGTTGCCCATATACTCACTGGAGCATGGTCACACTCCCAGTGGCCAGTCCTGTAAAGAAAACTGAGTCCTTCCCCACCTGCAACCCAACAGAAGCTCTCAGCTGTGGAGAGCTATACTTCAGCATCTTTATTACAGTTTTTAAGAGTTCTTTTCAATGGCTTCCTTTCTATGCTGTTTCTTTTGCAGGGAGGGAATTGGAGGAATAGAGATTTTCTTTTTTTTTTTTTTTTAACTTTTTGTCTTTCTTGCAGACCTGTTCTGGGACAGAATGGGCACCCCAGTAGCCGCCTGAGGCCAGTGCATTGCTGTCACCACAATTGCTCTAGCAAACCTGGTTCCCTTAGCCGCTGCCACATTATGCAGAGCTAGTGATCGAGTTTGCACAGGAATAGAGATTTTCACAGAAGCCTCCTATGTCTCTCGTTCTTTACTATAAGTTTGAAGTCATCAATGCTACTTAACAACAAGCTTCCTTGCCCTTTACAGTCAGTGGGAGAATAGATCACCAGCATGATCTCCGGTGTGGCAGTACAGCCAGGAGACATCAACACGGACCTCTGCTGCATAACAGGCCTCAGATACTACCATGGCAGCACAAGCTATGGATATCAACATGGCTTCAGATGGCAGCATGGATCACAAACATCTTCATGGCCTTTGGTGGCAACGTGGATCATGGACATCAACTTGGGCCCAGTGACTGCACAGCCCTCAGAGATCAACACAGCTTCGGTGGCAGCACCGACCACAGATATCTGCATGGCCTTTGGTGGAAACATGGACCACAGACATCAACACAGCCCCTGATTGCAGCAGGACCACAGACCCCCAACATAGCCCTTGGCAGCAGCCAACAGACATCATCATGGCCTCAAATGGCAGTACAGGCCACTCATATCAACATGGCCTCTGGCGGCAACCAGAACCATGGACACTAACATGGTCTCTACCAGTATAGAGACCATGGATGTCCATCTGGCTTCTGGTGGTAGCATGGGCCTCAGACATTAGCATGGCCTCCAGTGGCAGTTGGAACACACAACAAAAACCAATTCAACTCACATAGCAGTTGTTACCTTTTGTCAAAGGCCAGTGTATGCCAAAAGCCCCATATTGGGTGACATATGTTGAAAATCAGCTTCAACAAAATGCATATGTTTTTGGGTAGGAGCATGAGGATTAAAATTATTGGGCAAAAGGAACAGAAATATAGGAGAAATAAGAGACAGAAACAGAATATGTGTGTGTATATGTCTGTGTCCTGGTACATACACCCGTGCATGGAGGCCAGTTGATGTAATGTGTCTTTATCATTCTCCATCTGAATTTATTTTGTAAATATTTTGAAATATCATTTACATATGATATTTCATAACTATGTTACTAAATATAGGGCATTTCCACACCATTACCCTTTTGCATGTTGGCCATTCTCACCTAAACTCTTCTTCTTCCTCTTGCTCTGATGCCTTTTTTTTCTATTCTTGACTATCTGAGTTCAAGCAAGATTGTCTTCATGAACAAAATGTGTGGAAAATATCCTCAGGAACATTGGCTATCCCACTGAGAAAATGTCATTTCCTTTCCAGTACCTACCAATTGTCCATAGACCTTTAGTAAAGCGGGGTGGGGGTGGGGCGCTCATGAGACCTTTCCTTAAGCAAGGCAAAATCTCTATGGAGCTGCACTTGGATAGATCTTATACAGGTAGCCACACCTGCAGTGAGCTCCCGACTGCAATGGCCATGTCATATTCAGAAGACATTATTTTAGAATTTCCCTCCCCAACCTCTTCCCTTCTACAGTGTTTCTGAGCTTTGCAATTTGGGTCTACCTTATTTCTATCTATCTATCTATCTATCTATCGCAGGGTCTCTCATTGAAACTGGACCTTGCAGTTTCAGCTAGCATGGCTGGCAAGTGAGCCCCTAAATCCACATGTCCCTCTACTTCCTGCTGGAATTTACAGGAGTACACCAATATGCCTAGCTTTCTGAAGGGTTCTGGGGATCAGAATTCAGTGTCCATGCTTGCTTAGGACTTTATCCACTGAGCCAACTCCCTGAGTAGAAATGTTTGATGCATACTTTATTTTCAGGTGTGATTTAGTGTTTGTGTCTGACTTCCCTTCATGTACAAAGGAGAGGTACACAAATAAAGGGCTTCAATTTTTCACTCTGTGTTGAGTTATTATTTCCCCTCACTAGCATGTAGTCAAAAATTAACCAATTATTGATAAAAATTGTTTAATTGACCCACTGTACTTACTTAAATCAACTTCAGTTAATTTACTGGTGGAATATCTAAGCTCTACTCCACTTTTCTGCTTTGTGAAACGAAAATACTAATAATCCAGAAAAAGATCCTTCAACTCCACGTCCTCTTGCACTGTAAGACAACACCAAAGCCCCTTTCATGAGCTCTGAGATGAGTCTCCCATTAGCATGCTGGGAAACCAGGGAGGCCTCTCAGACAACCAAATAACTTGTAAAATCAAAATCCAAAAGTCAATCACATACCTCCAACACACAATGGCACAGAATACACATTACCATTCCAAAAGGGAGGAAAAGAAACAGAGCCAAGAAATGCTAGAGCAAAGCAAGACTGAAAACTAGCAGGGCAAACTCCAAATTCTGCATCTCCATGTCTGATA